TATGTTTCTTGCTTCTTTTCTGGCTGCCATGTATTCTGATAGTGTCGTGCAAAGCTGGTATCTTCATGCACAAGCAATCCATATGGATGGCTGCGCTGAACTTGTTCGCAAACCCTCTACCGAAGATGGTGTTGTACGGGTAATAGAGGTCCACTACAACAAAGGTTACGTATTCTGTTCTTGCATTTTCCTGACCTCCGAAGGAAACTAGCTAGAATATTTTCCCTAGTGCATCAATCCTCTTTCCCCCAAAACCGATTAGTGGTGAATCCGAAGGCTGCAGCTGGGTCCTGCTTAGTTTCATCTGGTCGAAGGCATTAACAAAGATGATATCTGCTGAGCTACCAGAGTCTATGAGAACCCTGTTGATCTCCCAACCCGCTATGTTGGCCCTGATTACCATAGCGTCGGTATGGGGGTAACTTTCTAATTGCAGGTCTTGCTTTGAGAAGGTGATTGGTGACTTTGACCAATCTATACAGTGCACTGGGCCTTGGACTGCTATGTTGTTGATGAGCCTGAGGTGATCCTTCTTTTGCTTCTTTGTCTGGAATTCCATTGAAGAGCCTTCGGCTATTGGCAGTATCATGTCGATGGTGGGTAGTGGTGTATGTGGGTTGAGTTGATTTTCTGGGTTGGGCTCATTTTTGGGGGCGGCTAGCTGTGGTGGAGGTGGCGGCGGAGGTGACTCGAGTTGTCTATTATGGACCTGAGCTGGCTAGTTTGTCTCTATATATGTTATGTGCGGAGGCCTTAAGTTTATGTAGGTGAGGTTGGCTTCTGCTCGTTGATTACTTGCCTATCCTTGCTGTTGGGTGCTTGGTCACCATGCAGGTAGGAAGTTGGGATAGTATGCGACTGCTAAGGTGGATGTGTGAATTTGATTGGAGTTAAGACTCGGGTAGATTGGGCAATATGGCTACTATGAAGGCACATCGAATGTGTGGTTGACTTCCCTGGAGGGTTGTTGTGATGGAGGCTGAGGGTTTTCTTTGCTTTTTATCCTCTCCTGAGTTTCCTTCGTATCTGGGCAATCTATGGTGATGTGCCCTTTGTTTTCTCCATGAAAGAAACAATACTGCCTTCGATGTCTTGGTTCTTGGTTTTTGTTCTAGTTCTTCCTTTGATTGTATTTCTTGCCTTCGTACTGCTTGTGTGATGGCTTGTTTTGTTCTGCCTCCGGCATTTGCTGCCGCTGCTGGCTGCTTCCTTGCTGTTCTATGTTAAAAACTTGTTGATCAGGGGTCTGCTGAGGCTGCAATTGGTCTTGGCTTTTGTTGCCCTTCTGAACATTCCTGTCACTTGTTTGGTACTCTTTGTTCTGATTTTGCTCTTCCAGCCTTCTTCGGAGGTCATTATCTGACCTACAGTACTTCTCAAACTCTATATACAGTTTTTGTATAGTGCTTACCTTTTCCCGAGCTAGATGAGCCATGAAGGCTCCGATGCGGAGGCCCTTGATTGCGGCCTAAATTGCCACATCCTCTAGGACATTTGGTGCCTTCGCTTTAAGCTGCACAAACCTCTTAAAATAATCCCTTAGGGCTTCACCTTGATTTTGTCTGCACTAAAATAAATCCATTGATGTCAGAGATTCGATGGTGAACCCTTTGAAGTTAGCGATGATCTTATCTCGAAGGTCTTCCCATGAATATACTAAACTTGGCCTCAACATTGAGTACCATGCCAATGCGTCTCCTTCGGCTGCAATAACAAATAACTTGGCCAAGACAGTGTCATTCCCTCCTGCGGAGGCTACGGCTACCTCGAAACTCATGATGAACTGGCGGGGGTCTGATCTTCCGTTGAATTTGGGTAGGGTATTGTGCTTGTAAGATGGTGGCCAAGGTGAGGTTTGGATTCCCTTCGAGAGTGGGATCTTGAATCTATAGCTCTATGGGATGGCGGTGAGTTGAACGGTGTGCCGAAGGTTGGCTGGGCGGCCATACCTGGCGAAGGGTTAGGCTGGCTTTGATCTACTGATCAGAGTTGGTTGGAAATGTTGGATTGGGGCTGGCTTAGCTGCATACTCTGAATCTCCGTCTACAGGACGACCAACTGTTGCCTAATCTCTGCAGCCTGCAATGATGTCTGTGTTGCCCTCTGATTTGCGGCGAAGGTTGCTGCCAACCTATCTCTTTCTTATTGTGTCTCTCCAGCTGGGCTTGCAATTGTTGGAGTACCTGCTCCGAGGTGGGATCTAAGGCTTGTTGATCTTTGGCTGCCGGAGGCTAATCTTCGATCGCTGGTTCTTCTACATCCTGGTCTTTTGGGGCACTGGTGTAAGCGTTGCGCGTATTACGCCTGGGTCGTCCCCTTGTCGAAGGCTCCGTGGGTGTTCAGGTGGGGGCTGCTCTTTTTCTCGGCATCGTGGGTTTTACTTGGCCAACACGTGGTGGGCGCCAATGTTGGAAAGTAGCGTTTTCTAGCAGTCGATACGGAGAGTGCCTTCATCCGGTCGGATGCCCCAGGCGAAGGTTAAGAAAGTGGTAGGAGGGTCCTGGCACAATTAGGGTTCTATAAATGCATTCACCAACCTCCCAAACAGGCTTCAGCTCTCCCTTTTTATAGGGCGTTATTCACTACTTTTCCTTTTTACATCTTTGTCCTACAACTGCTACGGTACATTCCCTGAATATCCTCTTGCTAGTGCAGGTGGCCCGGGGCAAATTGGACCTTCCCTTCTTTGCACCGCCGTGTCTCCTTGGGCCTAAATTGCTGGCCCAAGGGAAGCCCATTCCTGGCCCGAGGTCGCCTCCGCGCCATGAACCCTCCTGCTGTGGTGAAGCCAACTTCCACCACCGCTCATGGCACTGCGGCCTCCACCTTCACCAAGCGGCCTTCGCTCGTGGTATTGCGGCCTCCACCTTCGGCAGGCAACCTTCGCTCGCCTTCGTCGAGAGACCTTTGCTCGCAGCGCTGCGACCTCCGCCTTCGCCGGGCGGCCTCTACTTGCGGCGCTCCGACCTCCACCTTTGCCGGGCTCCTCAGGCCTCCGCCTCACGCGGCCATCAGGGCGGAGGCCTTTGCATAACTTTCCTGCACATCACACGAAAAACCGGTTCGCTTGTTAGTCTCCGTTGTCTCCAGACTCTACGGCCTTCACGGCTTGTGGTCATTCCCCAACAGTTTAGATAGATGCTTTATTCTATATCAATATTGGTAATGTCAGATATCCATCCACATCCACATATATTTCAAACAAGAATCGTAAAAATGCTGAAAATCGAATTTTGGATTCAATCATTTCAAAAATAGACGGAACATGTATGGATATCTGTATTATATGTTTTATCGGATATTATTCATGCATATCCATTTCCACCTTTACTACTGAGGGAATGGTTCACATGTAACCATTTAAGTATGAATCTATTAGACCTGTGTATTTAGACCATCCAAATTATTTATGGGCGGATGTCTCTGAGTGGTTTGATTTTTTTTTAATAATGGATAGACATCCGGTCTCTATATCCACGTGGATATACACGACCAACTATTAGTGGTTTGATATGAACCACATTGCAACGAAGGCCATTTCAATGACAACATCTCATTGTTGCAGTGAATATGAAATTAAAGGTTTCAAGAGAGACCCTAGTGAAATAATCTCTAGAGATAGTCAATGGTATTTTATCTCGGCAAACATCAAATAACTCAACTTCATTTGTGTTATAGAAAAAAGACGAAATACCTATCGAATGTTCAACTTGTGATGCACCTTTTTGCACGGCTGGTGTATGTATTATCTAATTGAAACCCAAATGGATATACATTTCAAATGAATACGAGGAATATTATGGCCATTATAAAAAATGATCAAGTATGTTCTACGAGGGGAAAAAAAGAATAGAAGAACTCGTTGGCGGCGCAGGGAGATGATACGAAGACGACACATAATACATGAACATGCATAGAAGCCAAGATGTGCAACAAATGTCCAACGCTCGCAGTCTTAACCATGCTCGATCGCCTTGCTGCCAAATGCTAGTATATATATAGAAGTCCCTAGTTATTATGTCTCCATTTCTGAGGGCATCGCTACAGAGATCAGAACGTCTGTTTACCAAGTAGTAGGAGTAAAAAATCAAGTGTTTCGCTGCATGCCCAGCTCCAGGCAATTAGAACATATTAGTGCTCAACAAAAATACCATGTACCCTATCTATTAAAGATGATTCATACTGGCTCCGTTTGCTTCGCCAAAAAAGCAAGCCGAAACACGGTTCAAATTACAATTCTGACTGAAAATACACACTAAAAAGTACGAATTATAAGACAAGCGAACATAGCCACTGTGTAAGAAACTCATTGGCCACAATTTCAAACTAATATGACCGAAATCTATTGTCCAAGAATTAAAATATCAATTTTTCACATTTTCTTAGTCGTATAACATCAAGTCTCTTAGCCGGACTCATTTCTGCAGCAGTTTTGGCCCTTTAACCATTTCAGAACCTGTGGCATTTGCGTTCCAGCAACGCCTTCATCGTCGTACTCAGCCGAACTCCTTGGAGCACCAGTGTTCGCTCGCGCCCGTAGCATAGCAGCTTTAGCGAGCAGAGTTCTGCCACGCCGGAACGATTGATCCTGCACGAAACGAACGCCGGAACAGAGTTCAAGCTACACCTGGGCGGGCCCTCTGCTGCGTGACTCCTGATCCTAACTGTGTCTGCACACAAACCTTGTTGCCATTGACAGATTTTGCGGATCAGCGGTGCTTGTCGTCTTGTCGCACTGTAAGCTCGTCGCACAAGATTTGCTTGCACTTCATTTTTGCCGGGTTGTTAACCTTGTTGCAAAGGTAGTTGCCGCTCCTTTCCAGTTTTCCAGATTGCAGTTGTGTGATTTGCCCCTTGCTTGATCGAGTGATCCAAGTGCGGAAGGTGAGAACAGACTGACGCGTTCGTGCCGTCGTGGAGCAGCAGGCAGCTTCTCGGACAAAGGCCTCGGCTTCCCATCCATGCTCATCGGCGTGCTCGAACGCTGGACGCTGTATGCTTCAGCAGAGCAGGACATGGAGCGAGGCGTTCTTGGCGGCGGAGCAGACGGGGCACGCGTCCACGGCGGCCTCGCACGAGCGGCACAGGCAGAGGTGCCGGCACGAGAGCAGTAGCACGCACGCGTCGCCGCCGCCGCACGCCTTGCATCTGCAAGACGACGACGCTGCGGCGGCCTCGTTGGACGCGGCGTCGGCGTCGGCGGCGGGCGCCTCAAAGCAGCACGACTGCGCGTCCTCCGCCGCACCCGCACCCTCGTTAACGGAGACGGCCGCCGCGCAGGCGCAGGGCGACTGTAGCAGCAGCTGGTCGAGGGTGGCGCGGAGGCCGGCGGCGACGGCCTCGTGGCTCCTGGCGACGCCCATCCACGCCTGGCACTCGGCGCCCGTCTGCCGGGCCTTCTCCTCCAGCTCCGCGTTGCGGCGGAGCGCCAGCTCCAGCTCGGCCTCCGCGGCGCGCGCCCGCCCCGACGCGGCGCGCTCCACGGCGGCCAGCAGCTCCCGCGCGTGCCTCCGCCGCGCCTCCTCCAGCCCCGCTCGGATCCTCTTGCTCTGTGGGGACACGGTTCACAGGACTTCCGATCAAACACCACCCCACCAATTAAGCATCGAATCAAGCAGCCGATGCCGATCAGCGATCAACCACCACCACGGTGAACGATTGTCTGTCGATCAAGCAATCCCGGCCGTGTGCGTAGCATACCTCGAGTCTTACGAGCGCGTCGATCTCCACGTCCTGGTGGTACAGCCTCGACAGGAGGAGGCCCTGCAACTGCGACTGCGAAACGCTCGCGCCATTGTCCCACCTACCGCTGCTGGACGCCGCGCCGGAGCCCAGCACTCTGCCCTGAAAGTCGCCCACCTGCGCCGCCGGCGGGCGCATTACCACCACGCTCTGATCCTCCGAGAACCGCCCCGCCACAACGCGCGGCCTCTTACTCGGCTCGAAAGCGTGATCGCACGCCAGGTCGCCGCGCGGGAAGTCGCTGAGCACCGTCGTTGTGCCCCCGATCCCTGGCGCCACCGCCGGCGCGCACCCTCCGTAGTCGTCCATGAGCACCGTGCCGGCCACCGCCGCATCCTCCATAGCTCTGCAGCAGAGCGTGCAAGATTAGATACGCTGATTATAGGCTGTACGACATCAGAAGTCAGAAGAGAAGAAAGCGAAGGAAGCCTGCGGCGTGCTGCTTACCTGAAGCTGAAGGCGCGGGAGTGTGAGAGGTGGCGCGCCTGCACGGCCATGGCGCCAACGCAAAGCGAAGTACTGCCCTGTTCGCTTGGGCTTTGGCTGATAAGTACGGCTTATAACTCAAACGAGTCGTGGCTCGTGGCAGTGGATGCTGAATTTTTTGTTAGAACGGGCACGGAAGTGAACCAGTGAGGGTCTGAGAGAGGCGTGCATAGCATATATACGGCCATGGCTCGTGGTCGCGCGAAACCATGACGATTGACGACGGACCCCGGCTGAGGCGTTGGGACTTGGGAGCACGAGTGCACGACGACGAAAGCGTCTCGTTCTGAACCGGGCCGTGTGGGGACTGGTGGCCTTGGGTGGAAAGGCGACAGGCGCTCCATGCGAGCAAGTTTGTGTGATGTGATGTCTGTATTATGCCTTTCTGTGGTAGTGATATATAGGGGCGGGAAATGTGAATGTGGCGTCATAGGTGGTGGTCCGGCTGGACTGGATGGGTTGGCTGGCCCAGTCTTCACACTCCACATACATCTACTATATAGGTGGTGGGTGTAGTTAGATGTGATGATGTTCGGATAAGTGAGGATTAGGCGATTAGCACTAGCTAATCTTTCTTTTAAGATTCGGTGACAAAAATATATGTTCGTACAAAATACTTTCTTGCAAACCATGATTATTGAGGATTATGAGGCTCTGCGGAGCAGGGGGGCCAAGGGGCACGGGTGCGAGGGAGGATGGCGTCGTCTTCTCTAGAGACTGCATGCCAGGCGGGTGTGGGAGGGCGATGAGCTCGACCCACCGCCATGGCCTCACCTACCTTGGCTGACCGCACGACCCCATCGGCAGGGGCCGCTGCGCTGACTCAGACCTTAGGACTTAGCACCCACTAAGCGAGATCGGTGCCTGAAGTAAGCAAATTAAAAGCGATCCTTATCGTTAACTTAATTTTCTAGAGAAATTCATCTAATTTAGACCATGATTGGTAGAATCAACAAGTTCTATTTAATTGTTCCCTTTATAGACATTAATAATGTTGATACAAAATTTTCTGGCTAGAAAGACGGAGGAAAGAGCTAGCGACTTGGTGAGGGACATGTTGGGATGGCATGACGCAGAGCACGGGGGGTGGAGAAGACAGGTGGGGGAGTGGCGTGGGGATTTGAAGTGCTTTGAAGATTTTTTATGGTTATGCCAAAATATTAGGAGGTGATATTAGGACCCGTTGGAGATGGTTTTTTCAATCTTACCAAAAATCAAAGGATTGGGAGAGCATTTTGAGAACTCTTGGAGATGCTCTTAGAATGTACGCTACTATATCTTTCCATACATGTTCTATTTTGGTTAGAGTCTTTATTTATCTTTTTCTTATATATCTTTTGAAGGTATAAACTATTACCATATAGATATATAGCATTTAATGTAGTAGTTTTTATGGAAGAAAAAAGGTTTTTTAACATGTACATAATACACACTAACTTTTTATTTAGGTCTTTTTCCAACGTAGGGAAACTAAATTACTAAGTTTCTATAATTTTTAATTTTAATTTTAGCTATTTAATATTATTTATATTTATATAAGACCATTCATTTTGGTTTTTTTTTCTATACACAATTCATTTGGACATTAAACAATTATGATTTTATTTTTTATTCAAATTTTGTCTTTACACTTACCGGGTTTTACATGGACTCTTTATTTTTGTTAACAATTTCTATGGAAATCAAATTGATTTTTTCCTAATTTGTTATTTTAAATATGATATTTACAAATCTATTCGGCATGGACCCTCTACAATATAATTTGGAAGTATAACGAGTCGCAAAAAAATGGAAGTATCACTAACTGTGTTTAGTTTTTTTTTCTATTTTTTGCTCTGTCTATTATCGTCATTCCAGAGCTGCACATCGCTGCTACTCGTCCTTTGGTAATTAGGAAAAAAACAAAAAAAATGCAGCCCGCCATCAAGCCCGCAAGGTCGTCCGCCGTCGAGCGCATCGCTGAGCTCGCCATGCATATTTGCCATCGAGCATGCTGCCCCCCCGGTGTAGATCCATTGTTGAACAGGTGCCCGAACCCACTGTAGTTTTGCACTGCCGGATGCCCTCATGTTTTCGTTGCTCCCTGGGGTGCTCTGGACGTCCTGGATGCACGAAGCTGGGAGTGGCGGACATTGCTCGTGCACTAAGCTCCTGGATCCCCATTCTGCGCGAACAATTTTTTTCAATGACAATGAAAGTATAAATTTTAATTTCAATGAAGCAATTTTCTCCTGTTTTAACTGCCCTCGGTCCTCGTCTGGAAGCTCGCTGGTCATGAATCAGATCGCACAGTATATAGCTACCTGGACTGATTGTTGCCAATCACCTACTCGTCCTGGTAATTGAATGTGAATGAATGACCATACCTAAACTCCTAAACGGCTGGTCAGTCAAAGTCTTCCCTAGAGGACGTGAAGAAGAGACCTAATTAAGAGTTGCTAAGCACAAGCGAAGAGCTAGATTGGATGATTCATGATTGGATCGATCGATCCCGGCTGGTTCGTATCATTGCTGGTTCGTGAAGAAGTACTGCTGGTTAGTTTGTGTGAGAGAAAAATACTGTTCCGGCTGAAAATTTACTATCGTTTACGGTAAGCCACAGCCAAACGAACAGGCTGGGTTGTGGAAAAGCCGGCCACCCACACGAAAAGAGGAAAGTTCACCCTGGATGATTGGGATCGGATGACGATCCGGTCCACGGCAACTAACCAAGCAAATTTTCTTAGACGTCAGAAATGCAGTTTCAAGTTTCAACGGCGCATGGGTCGCCCGAACAAATTTTAGCCGCTTCCTACCTTTGCCAGAGACCGGACAGGCGGAGAGAAAAACCATTCAACTATGAGTTTTCAGGGTTTTTTTTTATAACTGAGTTTTCAGTTGAAGGTAGCTCGCTCTTGACGCCACGCGCCCACGGCTCTCCAGAACGGCCAAGCGAGCGTTCAAGGATTGGAGATGCCGTGCACGTGAAACCGCAAATCATGTTCCATCTGGCATGTTTAATTTATATATATAAGCTATTTAGGGTTATAATAAACTGGAACTAGAAACTAGGGGCCTGTTTAGTTTAGTACTCAATCCATCTCAAATTGTAAGACGTTTGACTTTTTTGACATCAAGTTTGATCACTCATCTTATTCAAAAATTTGTGTAAAATATCACTTCTTTCGTCGTGGTTTGGTTTATTAATAAAAATTCTTCAAAAATGACTTAAATTTGACTATATTTATACAAATTTTTCGAATAAGACGAGTGGCCAAACTTGAGGCAAAAAAATCAAATGTCTTACCATTTGGGATGGAGTAGTATGTCCTAAACTCGTCGACCCAAAAGTTTAGCGTGCCACACTCACTCCGATCTTTGCTTCTGGATGCATCTCTATTGTGCCGCACTTCTATATCTTTGTTTTGTTGATACCCAATATTTAGCAAGCAAAATGGATGCCAAATTGGCACGGGCACAGTACAGCTGCAGCAACCTATGGTCACAGGCCTAACAAAGCCTAGAAATTAAAAACAAAGCCAAACCAGTGGTAGGCCGGACCGGTCAGGAGGAGTCTAGGGCAGAATGAACAATCATAATTCGCTTCAAAAAAAGAATTGGTTGATTTATTATTTGACGACCATAACTATTTAGTACTTCCTTCATCGTAAATTATAAGATATTTTTGTTTTTCTAGATATATAGATTTTGATATGCATTTAGATATATAATATGTAAGCAATGTATCTAGAAAAGTCAAAATGCTTTATAATTTGGAACGGAAGGAGTGGTATCCACTGGTCTAGCCCTACATAGTCACAAGAAAGGCGAAACCAGGGTAGATACAGAGTTTCTATTGAGCACGAAAAGTTACGATTTGAAGAGGAAATTTTAGCAACTTCTTACTTTCATAAGGAGTTGTTTTACCAAGTTGTTGGAGGGGTGTCTTTTTTCCTTTTCCCCCAAAAAGTTCAAATAAGGGTTCATTTGTCAAGTTCTTAGAGTTGCTCGGTTCTCGGAAAACACATGCAAAACACAGGAATTTTTGGTAAATGATCAATTTAGGTAGCTATTTAATTTAGTTTTCATAATGAAGTGGTGGGTAATTTTTTAGAAAAACTAATTGATCCAATTTTTTATTATTCCTAGTAATGATTGACCTTATTAAATTGATGGCTAGATGTTTTTTATTTTCATAAGATTTTCTAGTGATTTCATGAGAATTAATGTGGGGTCTCGTTTAGTGCCCTCTAACTAGTAGCAATAGTAAAATATAAGATAAGAATTCCATAAGGGGGAAAAGCATATATATACTCCGTACAACCTGTACATGGGCCCTGCGTTCGTATATCAGGGCATGCACGGTACGGGCTTAAGGCCGGGGAGCCCATATTGGTCTCGTTCAGGTTACTGAAATTTGACTAAAAATGGCTGAAAAATTATGTTCTAGTTGAAATATTATGAGAAAAATATACTGTTCTAACTAAAAAAAACTAAATAAACCGGATATAAAGTAAGCCGAACGGGACCAATTGGTGCATCAGTCTAGTATAAGACCCTCACCCTGCACATGCCAGATGCCACATACCACAGTGCGAAGCGTAAAGCTAGCAGTGTGCATGCATCGGCATCAGTGCCGGTCTAGGATTTTAAGGGCATTTGGTGATCACGCCGCAACGGTTCTTTTGATCGTATATAAAATTTTATAATATATAAACGTTAATTTTATTTACAAAATAAAAACAAATTTAATAATATATTTTTAATTTAACATGTTTGATAATTATCAAGGAACAATATAGATTAAACAATATATTTGTAGATGTATGATAATTATCGAGAAACAATGTAGATTAAAAAAACAATATATTCGTTTTCTTTTCTCACCTATGACAAATATTTCTTAGGTAACATTCTAAAATTCTAGCACCTAAATTAGAAGAAAAATATGACTATATAGGTATAAAGTATTAGAAGTATGGAATACTATACAAATAATTAATTTGGATTAAAAATAAAAAGAAAAAAAAAT